TGTTGTCGCATTTCGTAGAAAAGTTTCTTATGTCTTTCTTTATTCAATATTATGATTGCGACGCTTTTTTTCGACGTTGTGAATGTATAGCAACATCATGATAGTTTATACATCTTGAAGAGTTTCTTTAGATTAAAATATGAAAAAAGCATTTAGTCTCAGTCTTGATCAATTTTCAATTCACACACTTAAAGATGATGCATAATTTCAATTAAATGCAACAAACACAGTTGCTTCTTTTTAAATTAATAAAATAATTAAGAGAACAATCTATATATATAGCATATTGCTTTTCGAGAGACTTATCACCATCAAAGAAACAAGAAGACTTTTGAGTCAATAATTTACAAAATCTAGTCCGAAACATTTGAAAAGTTACCTCACTTTCTGCCAAATCTTAGATGTTGTTTTTTAAACTTTCAAGGTAATATGGTAAACTCGAAAAAATCTAAGTTTAACTTCTTTTTTTGTCTCTATTCCTCTGTTTGAAAGCTCAATAAAGTATTTTCTTTTGATATAATCGTGCGAATAGTTCATGTTTTGCACGTCTCTACATTGATATGGGTGTCAGAAAGTTATATAAAACGACGGCCACACTATCCTATGTCTCTTGACAACATCAAAACAATACAACAACAATAGATTTCAGAATTATTTTGCACATTGTTTACCATTAGAATTTTGTGTCTCTTTATTCCGTGGGAAACCAGACAGCAGGAGCTGATGAAATAAAGAATAGTACAACATTCTCTATTGTTTAATCTTTTCCCCACTATTGTTGAGAAGTCATGGCATCGCACTTTTTCTTTACTTTTGTTCCTCGAGCTTAAACATTTCATAATCTGGCATTGTAATACATTCTCGAAACTTCTTATAACAAATATACACATATAAAAGAAGAAAGAAAGTTGATTCTCTAATAATTTTATAAACACAAGCATTCAATTTCAGTTGGTTGTGCGATCGTATATTTCATTATACAAAGAAGAAACAACAGTCGAACATTAGCAAAATGGAGCGGGGTTTACGCCTTACCTTGGCATTGTTGGCTTCATTATGTATTTTAATTGATGGAAGCCATTATCGTGGTGGTATCATTACCTGGTAAATATACTCAAATAATGCTTCTTCTTATAGTCAATCTTGCATATTTTACTTTCTACGTTCTTCTTTTTCTTAGGCGTCCGTTAAACAATACAGTACAGGGTACCACTACACAAATTCTTTTACATCAAAGATATTTTTGGTACAGATTATGGAGCAGTTTTCCTGCACCTTTATGCAGGGAAGCAGATGTCGCTAGCCAAAGACCTATTGTCGTAGCAGGTGCTGCTTTGATCTGTTTAGCAAACTGCGCAACTTCTCCTACATTTCCTCCATCAATTTCAGCCAATATGATAACTTCAGATTGTGATAATTCAACGATCATTGAATCATGGGGTGGTGAACTCTACACTAATCTGACACTACATTTGACAACAGACATTACAATTGGCTATAACTCAAGTGCATGGTTGTCTGCACTCTTTAAAGGTAGTGGTGGTTGGTCAATTGTCAATCGACTGAATCTAGTTCCGAGACCTGATGGTTTTATCAACTCCAGTCCTGTTACAACTACATTACCATGTATACTTTACCCAAGAAATGTACCAATACTTCATATTGTGCAAATGTCAGATAATGATTATAGTGATTATTTGCTATGCCGTTGGGCCAATTCGAATCAAACATATAATTACGACCACGTTAATGAATGTGAAGGTGTCTGTAGTGCAATGCCCAATGGCACCTTACTCTTCGCATCCAATTGTACGTTGCAATTCATTCTACCTCAGGCTAATATATATTATGCCTGTGCATTGCAAATCGAAGATTATTATACCAATAGCTCTTTGGAGCCAATGAGTTCGGTTCCAATACAATTTTTATTCTATGCATACATTATTCCTGTTGGTGCATGTGGAACTCTTCCTTCAATTATTGGTGTTCGTCCAAATAGAGGTATGAATGTATATTCTATTCTAAATCAAACTCAAACATTTAATAATAATATCTTTTGTCTATTTAATTCTCTTTAGCTTGCATTGGAGTTCCAGTTGGTAAGTGCTATGGATGAATTTTCTTTTCTAATATCTAAAATCTATGTTTAAGGTGTACAGCTCAATGAAACTATAGAGGTACAAACATACTGTCCTGGTCAAACAATTGTTAATTTTGTCACTAGTTCACCTATTGGAATGACACATAGTGTTATTAGTAATCCAAGTCCTGGTAAGTAGTGGATAGCAGTTTGTTAGAATATGCAAACTTTTGAATTTCAAATATAATATCATAGGTTTATGGATAATGACATTGACATGGACACCTGTAGAAAACCAATTAGGTCCTCAAGGTTTTTGTGCTGGAGCAGTTGACAATAGTACTCTTCAATCAGCTCCATGGTGTATCACATATCTAGTTGGCTATGACTCACC